GTTTATGCAGGCATAAGAAAATCACATTAAAGCACCAAAACTCAAAATCATACAACAGTATAATAAATATTCCAGTAATGAAAATTTAAGAAAGGAACAAGATATTCAGATCATTTACTTTTTGGATAACCTTCTAGAAAGCCAGTTATCTAAAGTAATAAACCAAAAATCCTCAAAGTGTTCCAAAGGAAAAAAGAGAATATAAAAGCTAAAGCAAGCCCAAAACTAAATACCCCTTAATTACCCCACAACACTGCAGGGAATCCTATTCATACATAACAATTGTTTTGCTACTATCTTTATAAGGCTGTAATTTTGTATAATTTGTTAGCAAGATTTTGAGAAGTCTACTCTTTCTTTACTAATGGCTAAAATTTATATAGTGTTTTAAGGCCTATGAATTGAGTATTATATTAAATTTGAGAACTTCCTTACATTCTTCATTTTATATTTTTTACTGTCAATTTACATTCCATAAATCAGAATCTTTTAATATAGATTACTGTAATATCAAGTAAATAACCTCAGGGGTTTTTGGCGGTTTTGTTTGGGTTTTGTTTTGTTGGGGTTTTTGTTATTATTTCATATATTTCTGCAGAAAAAAAATGCTACACTTTTCTGGCAACTGGACAAATTTTACAGACCTGGAGATGTCATTATGCTAGCCAAAACTCAGTACTTCCCTTCCACCAAATACTGGGACTGCTCCAAACTTCTAACTTCTTACCACAGACAGGAACATGAACAGCTGAATAAAACATGAGATTACTGTGGTCACCTGCTGTGAACATGAACGTGCAAGAAGTCTGACATAAAAGTTGTCAGCTGCTAGTATTTCTAAAGGGGCCAAATGCAGCACTTGAGGATTAGCAAGATGAAGGGCAGCTCCAGCTTCCCCATTCTTAAGAAGCTGCAGTTGCTCGAAGTACAGCTCTCCAGAAAAACATATCCCCTGCTTATTAAAAAAATCAATTCACACATTGTCTACTGGCTGTATATCCTGCACACATCTTTACTTACCAGACACTCAAACACAATTACACATCTGTAACTGCTTTGTATAGTGGAGAAAGGAACAGTTGTGAATATATCCTTATTTTAAATAGAGAAATGGAAAATAAGATGCAGTTCAGAAAGACCAGTGCTAGGAGTAC